TAGAAGGAATCAAAAGTTAGTTTTGTTTGTGTTTTTTATTGTAAATGACTTAAACTATAATTATTGCAAGATTATTAATCTCATTAAATTCAATGTTCCTAAACCTAATCTAAGAATCCTTAATAAAAAAACATTCTTTGTAACTCTGGGAAGTATATCTCCACTAAATAATATGCTGGCAAATTGTAATGCTTTGTCAGAGTCTAAAGATTTTGATATATTTGAAACTAATGCCAAAGAAATCAGGTTACTGCTTACTTGTTAATTATATAATATAAGTGTTAAATGTTAAATGTGTTATGAATTGATTTTATACACACCTGGTCATTTATGTTGTTTGTGATAAATTAGTGTGATATATTTTATATGTACATGTACATCATGTCCTTTTTTACCTTTTGTTTTTTAATAATTTTTAATCTAGTTCTAGTTTGTTAAGTATTTCTTTCTTTCTTTGAGACCCCAGTGTCTATTCTTTGCATATAATTAATGTTTTTCTATATGGTGTTTGGCAAAGAATGGAATAAATAAATAAATAAATAAATAATTTAACATCTTCAGATTTTAGTGTAGGATCTACATACTTTAGAACTTTTTCAGCTCCCATTTCAACTTCTCTTGGTCTATTTCTAATTTCATCCAGACTACTTTTGATGCCCATAATGACAATATTAATTATTGGCTCTATTTTCAATATCCTTGACTATGGATTGACCTTTAAGTTTAACTAGTTCTCGACTCATGTCCTCATTCACTTTTTTTAGTGCCAGGATTTTTTTGCTAAACATACTATTTTTTTCATTTTGAACTTCATACTGTTCAGCATAAAATTTTAGATCATTTCTGAGGTCACGTATTTCCGTCCTAAGTTCATTTATGCATTCCAACAGGACTCCATCACAATAATCCTTGGTTTCCTTGGGTTCATGTGTATTAGACATGGACATATCCATTGATTTTCTCACTTGATTTTTCGTGTGAGCTTTACAATCATCACAATAAAAATGATTATTCAGTTTATGCATAACTTCTAGTTCGAGACTTGTAAGGCCAGTACACGCAACATGTAACCAATTCTTGCACTTAGTGCATTGCACCGATGCCTGAGTTTTGGTAACATTGTTAGTACACACAACACATTTGAGAACCTTACGATTTCCACTCATGTTTGAAGCCAATGATGCTTCACAACATACGCCAATTTTACCGGACTACAGAATCCTGCAAGTTAGGCTAGGTCAAGTCCGCTATCTCTGACGACACACAACAAAAAAAGTACTATAAATAAATATAAATATTTTCGAAATGTGTTTATTCTAGGCTATTGTCCTCCATTGTTTACTCCCTAAATCACGATTTCTCAGGAACTAAAACTTTTAGCAAGATACTAACTTGAAAACATATGATGAAGCATACCAGAGTCCACAACTCTTGCAAAATTCACCAAATTCCGACCACTATTTCACAACAAATTAGGCAAAAAACTCGGAACAAAATACAATCGCTCTTTACAAATCGACAGTCGAAGAAACAATATCATAACAAACACAAAATATCGAACAATCAAAACAATATCGAAACAAACACAAAATTTAGAAAAAAAATAATAAAGAACATGGAAAGGAACCTGCATTTTTTTTTTTTTTTTTTCATTAATTAATTTGACAGTAATAAAATTTGTCCTCGATATGGTACTAAAACACAAGTCAGATTTAGTAATCAAATGGTAAAGCGACAACATTTTGTTTTAGAAAAACCAAAATGTTCCTGGCAGCTTTCATCATCCTCCTCATAGGAATTTACAGTAATGCCTACGTTAACTCCATTAAGAAATCCTATTTTACCGATTTCTTCAAGAACCACTTACATCACAACACAACATAACACTGCATGTTATCACAGTTCCTGATGGGCACGAATTTCATTCTGGTACAAAATAAATACCACCCTTATTGAAAAAGGTATTAAAACTCTCGAAATAACTTTAAAGAATTTAAACAATACTCTAAATCTAATCAAATGGTCTAATAAAGACGAAGTTGTTACTTTATTACAAGTAAATATTGAAACTAGTCAATCACGTATCAATACATTGAAGAAATTTGTATAACAATTCTCACACGAACGAAATAAACGTGGAGTATTTAATTTCATGGGTACAGCACAAAAATGGCTGTATGGAACATTAGACGCAAATGACGGTGATAGATATGATTTTTACATTCAAACATTAAATGAGAATCAGAAAACTATCGATACAAATATGAAAGATCAAACAATAGTGTATTACATACCGAATAAGGAAGTATTTCATTACTGTCGAGAGATTTATATAGTTAATCGAGACGCAAAGTCGAGATTGACTATTAATCTCGAGATAGAAATGAAAACTTTCCTCCGAGGTTTGTATACTATTTTATTTGCAAGCACACACCATTAATTATTATTATTCATTGAATTTTTTTAATATTAAAAAAATTAAACAAATATGCCAAAATCTGTCATTTACTGTTTTGACGTTTTTACCTGACAGGTTCTCATTGTTGCCAGCAAAGGTAAATAAATTAGAGTGAGGGAAATCGAAGAGGGAAGTGACACAGGTAAAGTGACACTTCCAAATTTTTAAAAAGTCAGTAATGTCAAGATTACATATAGTCTGTTTTTTTTTTAAAGATAATTCCCCAAGTCCAAAATTTAGTATCTATGTTGGCAACACAAGCCTTTTCTACATAAAAAAATTGAAAGCATTGACAATTTTACATTGTATTGCCAACATATTGTCATTTTGACTTTTATCTTTAAAAAAAAAACATTTTATATGGTTGCAAATACATGTACTTAAGACCGCGTTAATGGCCGCCATGTTTAAATTTAGTTTTTGAAAATGACGACTGCGTCACTCTACACATAGGGTTCAATATTTTATTATTTGTCCAAAACAAAATCTGTTTGTCGGTGAAACACTTAGTGACAGAGAAGGACAAATATACAATTATGATGCTCCCAATGTAGCTTTTTTGCCGTTGCGCCATCTACTTGAAATTGCTTGAACTGTTTTCACCTTCAAAATTCGTTTTAAGGTCATCTCAAAAAATCCGCAATAATTTCCAAAATCCTTTGGCATAAACATTATTTGATATATTATCTACAATCTCTACAATTAGTTTTTTTTAGTTTTTCGTGGTTATTAATAAAATATGCTTTTCACGGATCCAAACTTGATAAACATGCAAATATGCAACCATCAAAACATTTAATTGTTTTGGTGGTTGCGAACATGATTTTTGAATTTAAAAAAAAAGGCTGAATATCGAAAAATCAAAATAAGGAATTGTAGATAATCGATCGAATAATGTTTATGCCAAATTTGAGCCAATTCTGATGTGCCGTTTTTTTAAAGCCTTAAAACAAGTTTCGAAAAATCAACCAATCACAGTTTAAACATGCCGGCCATTAACGCGGCCTTAAATAAGTTACGAAAACATGATCAATTTTCAAATATCGAAAATAATCAGATAATAATTTCAGAAAGGTTAAGAAATATTTTGCCGGACAATCAAAAGATTCAAACTATCTTAATGACGAATCTAATTTTAGAAAACATTAATATGCACAGTAGTAAATTACGCGAGTTAATTAATCACATAGAAAACGCAATCAGTTTTGCACACGCAAACATAATGCATTTTACAATACTGCAGCATAATGAATTAAACTTGATCTTGAAAAACATACCCACGAGTCAACAAATACCGTTTGACAACGTAATTAAATACTATGAGACAATGTCCTCTCATGTATTTATTCAAAACGAACTCATTATATTCACTATATTTACACCAATAATTAATCCTAAACCTTTAATATTGTATAAACTATTTCCTATTCCCATCCAAAATTATACAATTAGTGTTAAGTATCCTTACTTTCTACTTACCACAGGCAAGTATTACAATGCTTTACAAAAATGTCCAAATATTGAAGACATTTATTTGTGCAAAATGAAACTATTGAAACAAGATAAGCCCTGTGTTCACGACATTGTATCTAGTGAACAACAATTATGCCCATTCACGAAAATTCAATCGACAGTTGAAGAAATACCCAATAATCAAATATTGGTTATTCCAAAACGACATGTGACAGTAATGCTGCAATGTTGACCAGAAGAAATACATGGAAATCATTTCCAGTCTAATCGTAATTTCCAAAGGTAAATGTTCAATAACAATTAACAATCGAACATTTTTGGAAGACACGCATGAGTACTTCAACCTAGAACTAGAACTACACATGATCAACATTCCTGAACTTTTAGAGAATACCACAACTGTAAGACTACAAGCAGTCGACCATGAAGCTCTTCAATCAGCGATTAAAGAAGCAAACAAATTAAAGACTGACCCATTAAAAGTGTTAAATTTTAAAACCAATAATGTGTCAACCTATATTATAATCATAGTATTAAGTTCTATTTTTATAACAATTATTTTTATTCTATATTTTAAAGGAAAATGTAGTAAAACTAAAACTGAGGTGCAGATTGAATTGCCCAACATTGTTAGTCAATCCCAATCTGCAACCACTTAAGGAGGGATGAGTTATATTATAAATCCCTATGTTATTATTATATACCTACATAATTCTCCTTTTCAATGTTAAATATAAGCGTACGCCTCTGTAAAAACTCACAATATTATAAAGATGCTGAGTAAGCGGTACTGGTACTGCACTGGAAAAGTACAATCATATCAAGGTTTCGCCCACATGATTGCACCGTCAGTGATATTTTATCATAAATACGGCGCGCAGAGCCTTCTCTCCTCATTCATTTGTATTGTAGTCTTAGACTATAGCAATTTAGAATCAGTATGTATTTCTAGTATTTTTTGTTGCAACTTTTTAGTTTTTAATAAAATAAATAGTTTTTAAAAACAAGATTTACTGAACGAAAAATATAATTGGTACACACTAAAAAACCAAAATATCATAATACTTACCAAAATCGCCAATTTTCACAGTCTTATCGTTGCCGACCATACAATTCCTCGCCGCCAAGTCGCGGTGCACGTACTTTTTCGACGTCAAATAAGCCAACCCGTCGGCAATTTCGATGGCCATCCTATAAATCTCATTTGACGGAATACTATGGCAGGAATCACGTAACTTCAAAAGATACTTTTTCAAATCGCCCCGTTCCATTAGCTCCATCAGCACTAACGGAGGATGCGATTTAGAAACTACTCCGCAAAGTTTAACAACATGCGGGCCGTTCGTAAAACTTTTCATTGTCGAGGCTTCTGTTAGAAATCGGACCCTTTCCTCGTAGGAGGACTCTTCATTGATGGTTTTTACTGCACACAATACATTACTGGATTTTATTTGTCCTAAAAACACTCTGCCGAATGTACCTGAAAAATTTTGGGTTAATATGACTTAATACACTGTTTGTATATTACCTTGTCCAAGAATTTGATGCAATTCAATGTCTTCCCTGTCCATTTCCCACTCGTCCACCTCGTAAGATAAGCTGGCATAATCCGGATTGATTTGTGTAATTAACTGTATATCATCCAGCAGCTGTTTCTTTTTTATACGAAAAACTATTGCAATTGCCAAAACAACAGTCGCTAGTATTAAAATGATTATAATGACAAACCAGAGAGGATTTATTCCCAAATCATCTATTTCTATGTACTTGATATCGCTAAAACTTCCAGGGCCTGCTAGAGATACTGCTTGCAACATCAAATAGTAGCCACCAGGTAACATGTTTTTCAATGTGAGATTTTTGTATTTCAAAAATTTTTCCTGAGATATGCAAAGAGTTTGGTTTTTAGAATGCTTCATATCTTTTCGATAGTAGAGATTATAGGCCAAAATAAAACCATTTGGGTTTTTAGGTTCGGTCCAAGTCATTACAATATCCTGATTCATTGTTTTAACGGTAAAATCTGAAACGTCATCTGCTTTAGGATGTTTTAAAGTCCTCAAAGTGGTCTGTAATACTGAACTACACAATCTACGCCCGTTATAATTTTGATTGCAAGCCAAAATATAAAATGCATACAGACTGTACTGTCTTAGCTGATTTATAGTATGGTTTGTTACATTGGCACTAACAACTTCGGTAAGAAATTTGTTTTGATACACGTAGCTTTTTTTTCTGGAGAATGTTTTTTCGCCGGAACGTTTTTCCATTGTGATATCCGTTCCGTTGGTTATAACGTCGCCTTCGTAAAAGTAATGTTTGCAGAAGTCCACACCGAACTTTGACTGCGAATTTTTATCACAGAGATATAGCCAAATATCGTTTTTCAGTCTTATATTGAGTTCGTCGTTCCTCGAACAACAAAGATTGCCAGTTTGCGTTATTTCTTTGTCTCCCAAGTCGTACATTTCCTTCAGTTCCTCCAAGCTCATTACTTCGTCCTTTTTTTCTAAATGTTCTCGCTTATCTATTTCCGATCCAGCATCGCTAAAATAAGAAATATTTAGTAAAGTTCGTTGAGGACAGGGATTTTCATAAAAATTATTTTCAGCCAAAACAACATCATTTATAGCATAATACAGGGTGTCCCAATAGAAAGTGACCGAGTTTAAATGCTTATAACTTTTAAACCAGGTGTGCTAGCTACCTGCGATATGCGTCATTCGACTTTTCTTGGCCTAAAGTTTTTTTGCAGTTAGTTGCAAATTTTTTTCACACCTTTACAGGACGAGTAAAGAAAATGCCGTTTTTCAACATCGAAATTCTCCACTATTTTCAATGGAACACCCTGTATGTTGCAACGCCAAAATTAAGAGTCGTGACCAAGGTATTCATTTGCCAATAAATGTCGGCCTTTTTTGAACCTAAAAAAATGCATTTATTTTTGGGTCAGATTTCAATTTCAATTTTTTAGGGCTAAAACTTCAAGTTCCATGCACGATGTTTATTGGTACATCAGTCATCAATACCTTGTACACGACTCTTAATTTTTGCGCAACATACATAGTGTTTCATTCCCTATTAAGACACAATTGATTCAGTTGTACGCTGAGAAACTGGTGAGAGACAAGTATCCAGGAAAACATGTTGTCTGTATTCATGATGACCAAATCCTCACGTCAAAAACTATGGATGTTTCAAGCATTTCTCCCGCCTCACATCAAGAAGCAGATGGCCGTTTACTTCTCCATGTTAAGCATGCAGTAGAAAGTAGACATACTCGCGTCTTAATTCGAACTGCGGACTCAGATGTAGTGGTTATTTCAATATCACTGTTCCCACAAATAAAGTCTCTTTTTTTTTAAAGATAATTCGCCAAGTCAAAAATTTAGTAACTATGTTGGCAACACAAGCCTTTTCTAAAAAATTTGAAAGCATTGAAAATTTTACATTGTATTGCCAACATAATGTCATTTTGACTTTTATCTTTAAAAAAAAAACAGACTTTACAAGATATTAATGAACTATGGATTGAGTATGGTTGTGGGATATACAGTAAATTCATTGCAATTCATAAGATTTGTGCTACAGTTTCACTGCACCCGATACATGAGAATTTCGGAACCATACGATTTTCTTTAAATTTTAATATGTTGTAGGTATGGATAGGTACTTCACAAAAAAGTAAGTTAGAATATGGTGGCTCCATCCGTTTGGCTACAGTGGCATATCAAAGTTACGGCCATCAAAATACAATTTTGCATTGTTTTTGCATTTTGATGCTAAAAATGAGCTTATATTTGATGGATAGTAACAGCGGCGGGTAAACAAATTAATTTTTAGTATGTAAATTCAGTGGCGTACATTGGAATACTCAAAAATGTGAAAAATCTTCTTTGTGCGGTGGTAATTGGGAAAAGTTAATCGGTTATCAGGCTGAAAATAAGTTCATATTTAATAAATAATGACAGGGGCGAATATTTAAACTTACAACACAATAATTTTCATCCAGTGGCGTAGATAACAGTAGTAAAAATGGTTAAAAATCTTCGTTGTGCGGTGGTAATTGGGAAAAGTACTTATAAGGTTATCACTTATCAGGCTAAAAATAAGTTCTATCTGATAAATAATGATAGATGCGAATATTTGAACTTACAATACAACAATTTTTATCCAGTGTTGAGTCGAGTGCCGTGGATAACAGTAATACAAAATTGTGAAAAATATGCGTTGTGCGTTGGTAATTGGGAAAAGTAATTAGGTTATTATCACTTATCATGTATCCCAAGAAGTCGTGCCCTTACTTCGTCGGCATATTCTCGAATTTCTATTCATTCTTCCCCAAGGTATACCAAACATCAGATCGCAAGGTAACCTGGGCTGGAACTCTGTAACGCATAGAAATCGTTATTCCTGTCGCTATGACACTTGTCTTCTTGTCTTTTCTCGAAATCAATAGAGAGGGGACGTCAATAGAGATGAAGAAAATATCTCTATTCGTTACAGAGTCCCAGCCCTGAGCTCCTATCCAAAAACGATTCTAGCTTGATTTTCACGAAACTGTGAAAAATATGCTTTGTGAGGTGGTCATTGGAAAAAGTTATTGGGTCATCGGGCTAAAAAACAAAACAAAAATCATACAACCTTCAACACATCGATCACTTGAAAATGGTTATTAATGTCACCCTATCTCATCCAAAGCTATACTGTTTACTGTCCAGCTGCAGGACGACGATCTTGGGCATATTATTCCTAACAACATTCAAAAATCTCGTTGGAGGAAGATGCACTTCATTTCCTTTCTGCATCCCAAATACCACAAAATGCGGGATACATGCACACACACATCCAGAGTTCTAGCAAATACTTTACATGTGCAATAGCATGATGTAATAGGATCTGGTAGGGGACCCTAAATATTTACTTCTAATGGCGATTTCCATTTGTCATCAGTGCCGCACTGAGTGTATCCCCATTTTTTTCTAAAAGCATGTAACATGTAAGGATAAGGATACATTTTTTTTGCCCTGATTCGACAAATGGAAAACGCTATAAGTCAACGACATTTTGAGTTATGTATGTAGTAGATTGTCTTGTTACTTGAGTAAATCGTGAGAAAGTCGAGTCCGTATAATTCCAGGTTCATTTTGTTGTATTTCAAGAACAAACTGGTTAGCATTCGTTCCTGCATGTGAGCTGGAAATAACGATATCTGGAATCTGTTCATCAATGCACACGCGTGATAAACAGATTCCACGATCTCATTAACAATCATGGAGCTGACGTTCCAAGAGCAGAGAGAATGCTTCAACTTGCTAGAGAGACGAACTTTTTTCATCAAAGAGTACAGGAAGAAAATATTATTCGCAGATTTGGACAAGGTCCTTGGACTCCAATAGAAGATACCGAATTACATGACTTTCCACATCTGGCGATTTCATATCTTCGTCATATCCAGCTTACATGCTGTAGGATCGAATGCTGAGAGAAAATGTCAACCATCAGTTTGTCTTTGAAATACAACAAAATGAACCTGGACTTATACGGACTCACGATTTACTCAAGCAACAAGACATACTACATACATCACTTCCAATGTCTTTGACTTAGAAATAAATATTGAGGGTCCCCGGCTCTCCTACCAGATCCTATTACATCATGCTATTGCACATGTAAAGCAGGAGCTAGAACTCTGGGTGTGTGTGCATGTATCCCGCATTTTGTGGTATTTGAGAAGGCATCATGGAAATGTAGTGCATTATTCTTCAACGAGATTGTTGAATGTAGTTAAGATATCCAAGATCGTCGTTCTGTAGTTGGACAGTAAACAGTATAGCATAAGGTGATATTATTAATCATTATCAAGTGATCGATGTGTTTTTTTTTTTTTTTACGGATATGCGCACTCGCAAGAAAATGTCCTATCACGCTCGAGAAGCGGCAAGTGCGCGGAAATGTCGGTGTATGTTGGTCTTGAAACGGTTCAGGTTGTAACATGCAGGGAAAACCGTCGCAGGGAGTTTATTCCACAGCGATGCTGTTCTCCAGAGATATGAATTCTGATATAATGAGGTTCTTGGTGCCTCTAGTTTGACAGTAAATTCATGGTTACCGTCTGTTTGACGGGTTCGCCTGGTAGGTGCTACTCTCGGTGGAATCATACGTGCCAACTCTTCAGAGCATTTTCCGTGATAGTACCTGTAGAAGAGAGATAAATCGCCCACAGATCTGCGATGTTCGAGACCATCCAAGTTACGAGTAAGTGCGGGGTCATTGATCAGCTTGATAGCTCGTTTTTGCACGGTATTCAAAAGCATTAAGGTATGTTTGGGTGCTGCACTCCATATATGTGAGCAGTACTCCATAGTTGGTCGAATCTGGGCTTTGTAGAGTGTCAGCAATTGGCTTGGTGTGTACAGATGTCTTGTATGAAATAGCACCCCCAGCTTTTGGGAGGCCCTTTTAGCAATATCTGCCACGTGACTGTGCCAAGACATGTTGGTCTCTGCAGTAACCCCCAAGATGTTCAACTGACTCTGTAATGTGACAGCACTTCCAGATAGCATGATGTTTGGCTCACCGGTGCTGGTCTTTTTTGAAAACAGAGCTGCTTGGGTTTTCTGCGCGTTGAACTGTACAAGGTTTTTGTTACCCCAGTCCTCTATTATCTCCAGGTCGTTATTTATCTGCGATATTTGAGTTAGTCTAAGATGATGGAATTCACGTGCGGAAAGACCTGTGGGTGGTATGAGTGAGGAGACTACATTGCCATCGTCTGCAAAGCAATAAAGTGGATTTACTGTTTTATCTATGAGGTCATTTATGTAAATCAGGAAAAGAGTTGGCGAAAGGATTGCTCCCTGTGGCACACCAGCATTTATTTGGTAAGAGTTGGAGTTCTGGCCATCCAGTGCAACATAAATGGATCTGTCCTTTAGGTAACTTTCAAACCAAGTGCAAAGTTTCGGCGATAATCCCATTGCTTTGAGCTTGTTGAGCAGATTTTCATGCCAAACTTTGTCGAATGCTTTAGATATATCTAGGGCAATTGTTCTTGTTTCACCCCGCAACTCAATCGCTTTTTGCCATAAGTGAGTGACGTATGTAAGTAAATCGCCAGTTGACCTATATTTTCGAAATCCGTATTGCTTATCGTTGATAATTTTGTACTTTTCCAAGTACTTGGTTAGGTGATTGTTCACAACTCTTTCCATTACTTTTGATATCACCGGAAGTAGAGCAATTGGTCTATAGTTTAACGGATCTGTCTTTTTTCCTTTCTTTGGAATGGGTTGTACTGCGGCAGACTTCCATGATGATGGATATACTCCTTGCCTGTAAGACAAATTGAATAATTTAGCGAAAGTTGGGGTGAGTTCGTTGGCGCAATTTTTGAGTACTATTGCGGGAATGCCATCCGGACCCATTGCTTTGTTTGTATCCAGCTTTTTTAGGGATTTTCGTATTTCTCTGTGACAAAAGTGTACCTCTGGCATACTATGGGAAACCCTTTCAATGAACGGTGGAGTTTTTCCGTTTGGCACTGTTAGGTTGGAGTTGGAGGAAAACATTTGGGCAAGTATATTGGCTTTTTCCTCTGATGTTGTGGCTAAGTGATTATTTTTATCTGTAAGTGGTGGTATGGATGACTTGGTGAAGTTAGATCCAACAGCTTTTGCAAGAGACCAAAAAGACCTAGAACTACTTGGACAATTCAGCAACCTTTTTTTTATTCTTTGATTGTATGTTTCTTTAGCGGAGTCAATAGTAATTTTGCAACTATTTCTGGCTTCTATAAATTCTGTGTGGTTTTGAGCGGTTTGTTGTCGTTTCCAAAGGTTATATGCTCTGTGTTTTTTCTGTACAGCCGTTTGACACTGGCTGTTGAACCAAGGTTTTGCATTAGCTCTACGTTTAGTTGTATGTGGGATATATGCGTCCATTCCAGATAAGATTACTTGTGTTATTTCATTACAGCAAATAGTGGGATCAGCTGTTTTAAAGCAAACCTCTTGCCATAGAAAATCCAGGTAATACTGTTTTAGGTCATTCCATTTTGCCGATTTATAGTGCCACATTTTACGAGGAAGTGGTTGTAGGCTTGGTGGGATGAGCATTTCGCACTTTGTTATTATAAGTTTATGATCGGACGAACCAAGTGGAGCATCTACTTGAATTGTGTACGAGTCAGGATTGGTGGTTAGGAACAAGTCTAAAAGCGCTGCAAATTCGCCCCTTTCTGAGATACGGGTAGGTTCATCGACAAGCTGCGTTAGACCACAACTTATGGCAAAAGCTTCTGCTTCTCTGCCTTCGTTATCTGTTTTGTTGTGGTGTTTCAGCCAGGGTATATTATGGACGTTGAAATCGCCTAAAAAGACAATTTCCGCCTGTGGATAGTTTGACTGTATACTATCACAGCTTTCGGATAATGTCGCGAAAAAGTTTTGGTAATCGGTGTTACTTGGCGGTCGGTAGAGGCAGCAGATAAACTTGGTCGATGACTTTGATGTGTTTAAAGTTATATGATTTCTTTTGTTTTTCAGCCCGCGATGACCTAATTACTTTTTCCAATGACCACCTCACAAAGCTTATTTTTCACCATTTTTTACTACTGTTATCTACGGCACTGGATGAAAATTATTGTGTTGTAAGTTTTAATATCCACCCCTGTCATTATTTGTCAAATATGAACTTATTTTCAGCCTGATAACCGATTTACTTTTTCCAATCACCACCGCACAAAGAAGATTTTTCACAATTTTTCAGTATTCCAATGTACGCCACTGATGGACTTACATAATAAAAATTATTTTTTCTGCGATTGACAAGAAATGTCAGCATTTTTCACCGGTTGACAGGTCGCAAAACTCAATATTCTGGTATTTTAATTATGTTTCAATAGTTGCTAAGGAATCAATGAATAACAATACGGGAAAAACTTTTCCGGCCTAGGCCGGGAAAGTGATTCTCGTACTGCTGAATAATTGGAACTAAAAGACAAACATTTATTAGTGCCGGTACTTTTGCTCTCATTTAACAGCCGTTAAAAATAATCAGGGGTTAGAATGTGTTCTAACCATATCATACTTATAGACCTTGGCCCATGCAAAACTTTGACAACGTATCAAATTTGTTAATCGAGAGCAAAAGTATCGGCCCTTAACAGGTATTTAACCGATCGCAGAAAAAATAGTATGTGTATTTCGGTGGAAAAGCACATTCTCCACCTAAATACACAATATACTATTTGTATACCCGCCGCTGTTACTATCCATCAAATATAGGCTCATTTTTAGCAAATTGCAAATACAATGCAAAATTGTATTTTGATGGCCGTAACTTTGATATGCCACTGTAGCCAAACGGAGGGAGCCACCATATTCTAACTTACTTTTTTGTGAAGTACTTATCCATACCTAAGACATATTAAAATTTAACGAAAATCGTATAGTTCCGAAATTCTCATGTATAAATAAATACTATCAGAAGGAGCTAGGTTTGAGACAGGTCCAGAAGGACTTTTCCCATTAAGGGTAGTTTGCACTGGACCTAGTCTGCTGCGTTTAATACTCCCAGAAGGGCGTTTCCCATTAAAGGTAGTTTGCACTGGGAGGAGACTTAGTTAGAGGGGCTTTTCCTATTTGAGGTACTTTACACTAGCCTTAGTCTGCCGGTAATGGATTTCGGTGCTGTATTTATACCAAATAAATGCTGACTCGTCGACACACTTTAGTAAAATTGATGTACAGAGTGGTATTTACTTAGGTAGTTGAAAATATTACTGGTTGCCACACAATTTCCACATTTTAATGCATTAGCAAGAAGACAGCTGTGAAGGTCTGGATTTCATTTCGTGAAATTGATTGTGTATGGCCGCGGCTCTGTACAAGCACCTCTGATATTGATCATGTTGCAGCGTTTTGTTATTCTACTTTATGATCGAGCATCGGATCTTAATAACATCATTGAATGCAGACGAGTGTTATTTACAAGAAAGAATCGAGCAATCGAAAATATTCCTCTTACAGCAGATGCCTGAAAACAACACATCAAACGAGCTGCTCTCGAAGCAAGAATCTGACACAACAGCCTTGATTCACAATACAAAATACCTTCGCCAACCAACTGGGGATGGATACTAACTTTAGGAGGCTCATACCAACCTGTGTAAACAACAGTTCCAGAAGTGTCAAAACACTGTGTACAACTTACCTCCTGTGCTTTTCGAAAGCGATGCACATCTTGTGAATATGTTAAAATGGAAATACCTTGTACGAAACTTTTGTGATTGGTGATCAGTGATCACAAGTGAATTAAATGCATTATTTGGATTATATTGAATATGATGGTATTATATTGAATATAATAATATTATATTTGGCTATTAAACTGGAATAATATTGTAGGTACATTATAGTTATCCCTTTAATGAAAATGAAAGTTTCATCATCCTAAAAAGCTAGAATTTATTTACATAAACATTTTTGGCAGATTTTCAGCAACTGTTGATTAGAAAATAGTAGTTATAAAGTCTACTTTTTTTAAAAGGAAAAAATATCTTAAAGTCTACCGATCTTGTAGTGGATCTGGTAACATCGAAGCTACCGTCCCGTCGCATTCACCTGAAACACAAACACCTGGCTAGGTTCTGCGTTTTGCAGGCCGCCAAGGTCTTCACCGTTTTCACCCTAAAAATTTGCACTGGTGGGAGCACGACTCTAGCCACAAATCGAATAAAAATATACTATTTTTACCGGTACTTTTTGCCCGAACGACACGAAAAAAATAACCGCTGTCACCATGTAGCAGCCTCTGGTACGCTTACCTGATGTCAACTGCTAGGCCCTGCACCGAGGGCTGCTATCCCGACTCTCGAGCGGCGTTGCCGGCTCAAGTACTCTATGCAACAAAAGCGATTGTTGAATAGTTTTTTGACTTACAAAAAAGTTGGATTGTATGGTGAATGGCGCCTTGTTAGCCAAACTAGAGAGATATGGCTACAGGGATAAAGGGATAAAATAAACTAATGGATTCCTTTATTTCTGGGACAGCGAAAGCAAATAGTTCGTATCAAGAAATAAGCATTGGCGTTGTAAAGGGATCAACAAACAAACGAGTTTTATTCCAAAAAAGGGCAATCCGTATTTCAAAGGGTATAAAGAGTCAACGTACATTCCACAGACCATTGTTCAAGGATTCGAAAATATTGACAGTGTTTGACCACCTCATTTTCGAGGCTACAAGAAAAATCGATAAAGCCAGACAAAAATTGAATGCAGGGGTAATTTGTGTTCGTACAATACTCGACAGACTGCAAATTTGGTCACTCCATTATCCCGTCTAGCAATAACATAAAACTCAATGACGCACATGATGGGGATCCAGCTTTATATTAAGCTGACGGTTGGAAAACCAAAAAACGTTTGAGGCCAATGCCAAGAGTTACTTGGAGGGCGAGGATCACTACAACATCAAAGAGTATCTCGAAAAAAAAAAAACATAATTTCTTGTAGAGAGGGATGGACCTAATCTCGTTTTTGCCAATTCTACTTGTTTCACTATTCGGTCATTCGGTGAGTAGAAATATACAGTCGCCGAACAGTAGAACCAATCTAGTTTTGTTTTACTATTGTTAAACTAAATTTAGTTTATTAAATGACTCCTGATTTTTCAGGGGCTATAGAACAAGTCTAATTATTATATTCTTACCTGAAAGGATTTGTGCAATAGTCCCGATTTTTCAGCAAACTGGGATCGTCATCTATTCGATAAACACTGATCACATATTTATTTAAAATACCATTGCTTCGATAGGGTTTTGTCCAAGTTAGTTTCACTGAATTATGGTCAACAGGATAAGCTAAAAAAAAATCAGACTTTGGGTAACTTTTTGGATGCACAAAACAATAATTGTATTTTCTATTATTATAATTTTTTCAATTAAATTACCTTTAAAAAAATGCATTTATAAATACTAGTAGTATAGGCTTGACGGTTCTGCGCCATATGCTATACATTATGAGTGTGCAAGAGAGAGCATGATTAAGAAAAAGTTTGAAAGACCTCTCGAAAAATAACCCAATAACATCGAGATGATTGCTAGAAAAAGTTATGAACACGTCAAAAAGGAAAAATATGGAATGGGTGAATAGAAGAATGAAAGTTTTTGGGCAGCATCCTCTCTTAAACTTCAAATAAACCAGTCTCTTGTAATTCTCCTATTTTGAGAAAATCTTTAAATTATTGTAGGGCTTAAGATTGGTAATTTGGAGTAGCCTTATTTCTATTGCCTAAACATGGATTTGATTGGTTGTTAGAGTAAGGGTGAACTTGAATCGCGAAAACGGTACCCCTATAGAATGAAATTTTGCTGTAGATAACCACAACTGTCACCAGGAGTTTAGTTTTTTCCTCATCCTCACGTAGTCGTATAGGTTAAACAGATCTGGAGCAAATTCGATAAAACCAGTTTTAACCCATGTTCATTGCGGTAACTCTTTTAAAAAGGCTACATAGTATTTAACACAATGTCCCAGACTGTTTTTTTAATCGCTCAAGAATAATTATGCTAATCAAAATGATAATATCTTACCTGTAAAAGTAGAAGGTGAATCGGGATCATCTGGCAATGTCTGAAACGTCTTCATAGCGGACTTTTTGAACTCCATATTTTTGAGGTAAGTCTTAACGTAAAAATAGTAGGTCGTGAACACTTTAAGGTTATCTAACAGTACAGAATTGTTGGACGTGCTGAAACTGTCCCAGCCGTCTGCACTGCACACGTCTTTTCCTCTCTCCTCTGTGGAATTAGAATCTAAAAAAAAAAAAGAAAATGTTTATGATGCGAAATTTAATTAACAATTAACATTGTAATTTTCAACAAATGTGTTTAGTCTTAATGAATTTATAGGCCGTTAAATTTCAAGATGTGCTTTATCATTTTCCTTGTGTGGAAAAATCATGATTGATTTGTTCCAATGTTCCAATAATTATCTGGCATGTTTTGATTGTGGATGCACAGATTGAAAAGTTTTTGAATATTTTCTATTGATATTTTGCCGTCCATGTTTATTGTCTCTGTTTTATACTGTTTGCACCTCGAGCTTTTGTTTTTTTCTCAGGAATATCAGGAATGTTTTCTGAACAATCGAAAAGTGGATCCCAAGCCAAAACCCATATCCACTTCGGATATCTAAGTCCTCCAGAGGTTATTACAGTTACACTTTTCCTCAACTCCCAAAAAACGAGTAACACTAATAACACACTGTAACCCCTTTTATTAATGAATTAACAAGAGATCCATAATATGCTCAGTTTGCTCAGCGAATAATTATTAGAGGTGGGTTGATAGTTTAATAACTACAGAATGGCAAGGACGCCACTGAATTAAAAAAAAAATTAAATTACATAAAATATGGAAGGGTGAAAATTCAGAAACACACCTAAAGAAAAAATAATCTGCAGATGGTAATTGATAACTCTGAAAAGGAATTAAAGGGCACATAGCTCAACCAAATCCTCCCATAGGTAAAACCAATAAAACAATAGGGTAAGTTTCAAATTAAATTAGTGTATATTTTCACAGTCAGTCAAAAATTAAGCAGCAAATTTTAAAAGATAAAATCAATTATTGGTGGAACACTCTAAATAAAATTAATAAATAAAGGTTAACTCTCAATCAGTTTCATCAAATTCAAAAAATAAAATAAAAATAATGTACCTCCATATAGTTGCCATTTAAGTTCCTTACCAGTCGCTAGCCATATCATTATCATGAAATGAAAATGTAATATATTTAAATTTCCAAAAAACTAATTTAAAACAAAAAAAAATGAATGATTGAAAATTATAATATTACTAGCTGAACCGAAGAACTTCGTACCGCCTATGAATTATTAAATACCTATTAAATGTTGTATTAACGTATCAAGTAGATGAATTAAATTTAGATTTCTTCAATGGTGAATTTGGCCTTGGTTGAAGAAAACTAATGTTTACTCTCTGGATCAGAAATCACCTAAAATTAAAAATGGCTATTGATTTCAAATAGAGTGCCTCGCTTGGATCATAATCGCTCTCAGAGCACTTCCGCAGAGATCTGTGACGTCACCGCCCAAATAGAGAGCGCTCTGGGAGCAGTAAAGCCGAAAATGCTATAAGATAATACTGTTACGTCGGTTGAATGTAATAAACAAAAATAAGTTGAGTTATGTTGTAGTGGTGAGAACTGTGAGAAGCAAGAAAAAATTTAAAAAATTTGAGGTGGACCACCCTTATCACTTGGGGGTATAAAAAATAGCTTAAAACCTATTATCAGACCTACCGAATATACATATAAAATTTCATAAAAATCGGTAAAGCCGTTTCGGAGGTCGAAGGTAACTAAAACTGTGACATAATAATTTTATATATTAGATAATATAGATAAATATGGTCAGCTACTAGCAGACAATAAAATCCGTAAAATCAAATTTAAACTGTATGAAATCGAAGGTTAAACCTTGAAGGGATAAAGGAGATATAACTGAAATTCTCAAGTTTATAAGTAATATAACCCAAATGGAAAATTGATCAATTTTTGGCGTTATAAGTACTTGGACCAATAATCTCAGATTTAGAACATATTGTCCAACCTTGACCTCAGTTTAGATTAATGATTATGATTAATAAAAGATATTTTTTTTTTTAAATTGCGGTATCAAAAGTGAAGTAAAGATAAATCTATAATAATTACGGTAAATCAAAAATCAATTATTCCACCATCACCTTGGTGTCAAGAATGAGAGATTTTAAATGTGTATGTAAGTAAAAATAATCAATTATGGTAATTGATCATAAAATAGATTTCATAAAAAGAGGTAATAAAAGTTATAAATGAAACTCTATACAAGCCTCAATGAAGAGAAAAATAGCTCCCGAAAAAACGGCTCCCCGGCAAAAACAGCTCCACGGTAAAACCCGAAGTAATAGAGACATTCCGATGAACAACCATCACTTTAGAAATAAAATAAAAAAGGACTTACCACGAGGCGGTTCGAAATTCAAACTTACATAAAACGGTAATCGCGAGACACACTTGAGGAAGATGGATGCCCCCCTAGGCCAAAGTCGACCTTTCAGGGCAACGGCAAGTTTAAAAAGGGACTAAGAAAAGAACAAAAATGAACAGGCAGAGCTTCTTTTCAAATAGCCAACGGAAAATGTTGGTACTAAACCGGAACTTCAAATTTAAACGAAAATCGTGCCCTCCAGTGTAATAATTTCATAATTGCTATTATTATTTTCAACAGAAATCTTCTTTTTATAATGCTAGTTACCAGACTGTCAACATTGAAGGTAATATTATTAAACTTATAAAATTATATTTGAAAGAAAAAAAAAAACAAGTCACATTTGCAATATTACAACACACATGAAAATAGAGAAAGAAAGGCTCAAGTTTAAGGCTTGATAAAGTCTTAATTAAAGACGAAACGTTACCAAAAGAATAATTGGTTTTCTTTTTTATCCCTAAACCCAAGAAACTTTCAGATGGAATTGACAGGGAAAGAATCACAATCAATTAATGATTAATAACCCATGATCCAACCTGTCAAAAGCCTTGGAGAAATCCGTTATATCACATTAACCTGACCTCCCTTATCCAGAATTTCTGATATTCCCTGTGATATATTCATTATTTTTTTTGGCGACAGACAGATGCATATACACGTTCGTACAAAATGGTTTCAAAAATTTTGATGTATGAGAACGCAGCATTAAGTTAAAGAGGATTCTCAGGATTCTTAACGGGGTTACCAGGCTGGGACTATGTAAGTTTGCCCGTCGAATGCTATTGTATCTGGGATTCTACAGGTTCTGTTCTTACTATGAAAGTAGGACCAGAAGGATCACTATTATTACTTTGTTGTAAATTGGAGATGTATGCTTTAAATGCAACTTTGATGCTTAGTTACTTTCTCAACCGATAAAAAAGTCAACATTGCCAGTCTTTCTTTATTTGCTTAATGACTTTTTTTTAAGTTTTATATTCTTTATTATTCCAGCGTTATACCAGGCTGAAAGGAACGTTTATAGTGTTTATATTGCAGGACATGACTCTCCACCAAAGAGTATAATTTATCATAAAACATTAAACAGCGTCCTTCACAATATTACATTCCCGCAAGAAATCCCAGTCAGTTTTAATAAAAGAGTTGTATAGGGATGGAAAGTCTGCCCTTTTAAAATTATAAGCTTTGTTCTTTAAATTAGGAAGAAATTGGTGGTGCTTTTTGCAAGCAAAATTTCCAGTCTTTGACAAATGGACTCTTCTAAATTTTCCCAAAGCAGTTTCTTTTTATATTTGTATAAGCAGAGAGAGGTATTAAATCTTGGTCCATTTTAAAAAGAGGCTTACCTATATTTGAATTTGAAATGAAAGTTAGCAACGTATAAATCCATAAACTAATAATAGGAACCAATAGAAAAGTCCCACAGGAACAGAACAGGATTATGCTTTGATGATTTGAGAAATTGGAGACAGAATAGTCTTAATTGAGTAAATTATTGATGGTATATAGACGATGACAAAATTATTTCAAAATTAAAGAGAACGAACAATTTAGTGATGTCTCAAATTCGATATGCCACATTTCCATAAAAATAATAATAAATTTGAGAAAAGAGAGTTTAAAAATTAAAATTAAAGATTCACAATTTAAATCACCAATTATTTGTTACAATTGTGGTGAGAAGGGTCATACATCCCACTAGTTTCCTAATCAAAAGGAAAAATTTAAATGTTCCAGTTGTAATGGACATGGACACAGGTCACATATCCAAAAAAGAATGTGGCAATATTCTCACCAACGAAATGATAGAAATAGTCTTAATGTGAAGTTTAATGAGGCGAAATTGAAAGCATTATTATTAAACGCTGGCAGTGAGGTAGAAGTATATTTTCAGAATACTTAAAAATTCAATTTTAACACGTAATATTTTATTTCCCAACCAACTCACTCAAGTCAATGATATGTTAACATAACAAAAATATATACATATAAATAAATAATAACGTAAATATCATACATTCTCAACCTAATAAATTCAATACAATGTTCACCGTTCACCTACAGGGTGACACTTTGAAATTATCCTGTGGCTACTAATTTTCACTGTTACTGCTCAGCGTCATTACATTTCCGTTCCGATACCTCACCAGCTTATAGAGTAGTTAGGTAACTCTGCATTTCACCGCCTATACCACCCGAATTTTTCGCACCGCCGTTCATAGCATTCTCTCACCAGCTTTCGCACTGGTTTAACAACTTCTCTTGCATGTTCTCGCTTACTCTCCATTTTTTTCAAATTGATTTTATTAGTTTTTTTTTTATTACTTTAGAACATCCTCTCTAGATGGGGTCGTCCCATATATGTATATTACTTTTTTCATTTCCGTAATACAGAGGCTTCCATTTTATTTAATCCACCGTTTTATTGCATATCCTGACCCAAAAACATTTCAGTAATTTTTCAGGAAACAGTTGAGGGCTTTTCAGGTGTTTATACCAGAGACTCGCCGAGTCTTGATTATGCATCGCTTATGACCCCTGGATTACCGTTTCTCCACTGTAAAAAAGCTGCCTGGTGCACGTGGACCTTCAACCACTTTAATCCGAGCCAAATAAACCCTAACTTGGAACCCGACCTGACTTACAACTCTTCCTAGTCTACATGAACTCACTGTCATACGCACCTCTTCAGGGCTCACTCAATTTATATGCGGATGATACTTGCATCACTAATTTTGATAAGGACCGCTAATTTAAAAATCATCATTGAAAAAGAATTACAGATAATAAGCGATTGGCTCTGTTACCAGAAACTTGGTTTGATTAAATGTAAAAAATCAAAGCTATATGGTAATACCAAAGTTTGAGTCCTGGCCTGACTTCACGATAAAATTTCAAGGTCTCCTATTGAATCGGACAAACTGCATTAAATACCTGAGATTCTCTGTCGATTCCAAACTTACTTGGGTACATCTTGCATATATGTAAAAAGATTACACCAGCAATTGGAATACTTGGTAGAATATCAGAATATCCGTCCATCACGCATCGTAAGATGATAAACAATTCTCTAATCCATTCTTACATACCATATCTAACTCTGCTAGAGGGCAATGCTTCCCATAGCAAGCTGCATTCATTGTCAGTTCTCCAGAATCGTGCTATAAAAAATCATTTAAGTTGCAATTTCTGTTTCCAGAAGACATGTCATCCTAATGACATCCTGGACATTCACTCCCTGTATATCTCGCAATCATACATTTGTATCCATTCTTGCAAGACTTCCAATATTCACTCTACAGTCAGTCTCATCCCAGCCAACACAATCCACTACCACAATACCAGATTCTGTGAAAACTTAAGAATGTCGGCAATGAACACTAAAACTGGTCAACGCAGCATCTTATCAGAAGAATCAAAGGAGGTGTGACCCTAAAAAACGACTTAAGCTACTTAAATCAAGAATTCTTGTGAGAACCGTAGTCCTATGTTCAAAATAGTCTCCGAGAAAATTTCTTGTGAAGATAAATTATGCAGGAACTTGTGATGTCACAACCGCCGAAATCGCAGTCTACTGTTCGTTCAGTCGTCAGTGAACCGTAATTTGAGTGGTTTCAATTCGCTCTAGGAGATAACTGTCTTATGTTTTGGAAAATTTTTACACGTATTAATACTGTCCCTGATAATCCAGTGTGACGTCACAAACACCTAGCTGTAACTTTAAACCGCCCTAACTCGAAAACGGACCATCGTAGCAAAATGCGGTTTAAATATTTATTCTAAGATTTTTTTGCACTAAGGTCTGAGTTATCCAATCCCTTAATTCCTAATATTTGTCCTTAATTCTTAATTTTTAAAAAGTTCAATTTATTTAACATTAATGTTTTTAAAAATTAAGAATAAAGAACAAAAATTAAGAAATAGGGAATTGGGTATCCCCGGCTTAAGACTTTCATTTTTGGGACACAACGCCTTTAAGGTACCTACTACAATCGAATTCCAGAATTTGTCAAAAGATTGAACATAACTTGCTTCAAGTGCAGCTGAAGCAGCTGATCTTCATGGTTACTTTGGGACTGTACAATGAAAGACTCTTTTTTTTCTAATTTAGAACTAATAAATTCGTCAATGCAACAACTTTGTTATACGAGACCTATTTATACTAGCTATTTTCTCTTGTGTGATATTGTATAGTACATATTATGGTATATTAGCCTATCCAAGAACGGTTTTCCTTTAAAATTAACCGTTTAGGTTTTACAGCCTGTCAAAGTTGCAAAAAAGTCAATTTTCAACTGTCAATATTTCCAAAACAGTTGAACTTAGGTATTGAAATTTGGTACCAAAATGCATGGAATTAAAAGCCCTGCAAAATGATGTATCACTTGACCCCCCCTCCCCATTTAGGATTTTCTAGGGGGTGGCTCTGGGGGCTGGGGGTTGAAAGAGGGCAGGTAAATTTTGCATAAAAACTCATCCCGCTTCAAATTATAGTTGCGTGTTTTAGGGATTTTTTCAAAAAATTTTCTACTCCGATATACAGTGTGATTTTTTGAGTGTGCAACATATGATTTTTTTTAGTAATAGCACAACCCAAATACAAACCCGTTGGTGCATGTCTGATAATCATATAAGGTGCACTTAGAATGGTTGCAAGTCAAACAGCATACAGGGTAGCTCAAACAATATCAAATCTGTACTGTAAAGTACCCTTATTTTAGAAAATTCAGCAAAATGTCGCAGTCGTCAGTGAACCGTAATTTGAGTGGTTTCAATTCGCTCTAGGAGATAACTGTCTTGTGTTTTGGAAAATTTTTACACGTGTTAATACTGTCCTTGATAATCCAGTGTGACGTCACAAACACCTAGTTCTAACTTTGAACCGCCCTAACTCGGAAACGGACCATCGTAGCACCCAGTCAAAGTACCCTTATTTTAGAAAATTCAGCAAAATGTTATAGAGAAAAGTTGTTTGGAATTAAAAGTTATGCCTAAGTACCAAAACATAGCCTCCTAAGATTTTTTTTTTTTTTTTTTCGAAAAAAATCTATAATTTCAATATTTTTTTCAATTTTTATTTCCGCCCTTAATAGTAAGGGAGACGACCGCATTTTTCCTACCCCGATCGAGTTATGTGTCGACACTATTATCAATATATAGTATTATGTGCATCTATTAACCGGTATTCCTGCCTGAGAGCAAATGCTGCCGGAAATATCTTTTAACAAATTATTAACAAATTGAAAAAAACGTAACACATCATCGAGTTATGTCCTAAGTAGTGTATCAAATTGAAGGTCTCGATGTCCCCTATCTAAAAAGTCGATCCTGCCTCGTGAGAACTTGCCGGAAAAGGGTGGCAGGGCAGCTTATTGGGGCAAGGGCCCGCGGTCTCAGGTTTGACACCTATCAAGTTCTGCGCTGAATGATGTGTCAAATTAAAGGTGTCAATAAGTTGATTTAAGGTCTCTTCGCACAGAAATCCCAAACCACTCTGACTGATTTGTGATTTCTGTGCGAACAGACCTTAAATCAAATTATTGACACCTTTAATTTGACACATCATTTAGTGCGAAGCTGGTGCCAAGCTTGATAGGTGTCAAAGCAGAGATCGCGGGCCCTTGCCCCAATAAGCTGTCCTGCCACCCTTTTCCGGCAAGTTCTCACGAGGCAGGATCGACTTTTTAGATAGGGGACATCGAGACCTTCAATCTGATACCCTACTTAGGGCATAACTCGATGGGGGTAGTGTTACGTTTTTTTCAATTTCCTAATAATTTGTTAAAAGATATTTCCGGCAGCATTTGCTCTCAGGCAGGAATACAGGTCAATAGATGTACATAATACTATATATTGATAATAGTGTCGACACATAACTCGATCGGGGTAGGAAAAATGCGGTCGTCTCCCAGACTATAATACTTTCAAAAATTAACTAAAATCAAATCAATTTTACATAACTTTGTTCAAATTCAAGCATATTTGTAAAAATAACTTAGATTTTTAATTTTTTATGGAATCACAAAATTCATGTTTGTTGCAATGATATTCAACACAACTTTAAAATGTCGCATTTTTTTTTTAAGTTAAAACATTACTAATGATAAGTAAATATTACTACAATTTTGATATTTTTTGAGCTACCATGTATGCTGTTTGACTTGTAACCATTCTAAGTGCACCTAATATGCTTATTAGACATGCACCAACTTTTGGCTTTGTTTGTATTTTGATTGTGCTATTACTAAAAAAAAAATCCCATATGTTGCACACTTAAGTAATGACACTGTATAGGGGTGGGAAGTTTTCAAATTGACACCCTGTATGATACTGAATGACCTGAATAGCTTTCCATGTCAGGTACTCTAGTTTAAGCACAGCATATACAAAAACAATCAGCAGGCTAACTCTCACGCGCATCTTTTCTGCACACGCCGCCATTAGGGGATACCATCCTGTCATTAAACGGCAGGGACGCCGACACTTCAATTTATTTGTTTATTTCTGACGGAGGTCATAAGTGTGCGGTGTAGAGCGGAATTTTAGTTATGATTTTCAAAGTGATTTTAGTATATTCTTGTTGTCATTTATGGTGTTATCAATTATCATTCTTGTATATTTAAAAATATTAATAAATTAGTGAGGCTTAATATTATTATATGTAAGTTATATTGAATTAGTTTATTTCAAGCCAATACGACTCTGTGATCCGAAAGAAAAAATTTAAATTATTGTAAATCAGGTCCTGTCTCGTATCCCAAAATGGCCGCTAGTGACATCCCGACCATGAATTCCTTTATTACATGGGCTGTCACTCAAGTTAGTCTGCTGATTGTTTTTGTATATGCTGTGGTTTAAGTACATTCATCTATTGTTTAACTAATATTTTGTTGAAATAAAGGAAAAAAAAAGTTTATTTGGAATTAATGGATGATGGAATTGTTATTCTTGGAAAAAAAACGACTTTCTGATGCAAATGACGATGGACGGAAGTGAAGAATTGGAAAAAGTAGCCACATAGAAAATCTAGAACGAAACGAAGGAAAGTGATAAAGACGATTTTTGCCAGACGAGAAATATTAAGAACGAGCATAGTTGTTGAAAGTAAAGAACCAATTTATCAAAGATTGCAAAGATTAGCCATAGTTCGGAGAAATTATCATCTTCGGAAAATTGACTAAATCTTTTAAATTTTCTTACATAGGTAATTCAAATGCCAAAATTGAACTTACCTGTATAGTGAATCGTATAATACAGCTCGTTACTGGCATCTTTCTTTTCCCACTCCAAAGTAACATTCGTGGTACTAACTTTCGTTAGTTTTACTTCGAAGTCCGTGTTCACGTCGTCGGAACAATATGCCATGTTAGAGTATTTTGACACGTCGGTTTCGCTGTATTTTATACCAGTCTTTTCGGCGAATTTTTCTATTTCAGTCAGGCACAGCAGTTCGTTGTCATGAAATCCTATAGTGCCTGAAACAAAAATCTAATTAGAACTTTTATATATAAAAGTAGGTATTTGTTAATATATTTTTGCAGGCTGAACATTTTCTGATATGTATTTATTTTGACGTTGAAATTTTTTTGAGTTGAGTGATCACGTAGTTTATTCAATAATCTATAAAAGTGCAACATTATTATAAATGAATTACAGCAATTCAATCGACTCACCATTTTTAATTTTCAAAGGAAAACTCTCATTTATCCTCCACAATTTCTTAAGATTCCTATTATCATAGACGAATACTGATTTATTTGCATATAAATTAACACCAGCTATAACTTCGAGATTCAATAAAAATCCCAAGTCTTCCATTGCTTCGTTTCTGGCGATAAGAAGATAGTCACGTATATATTTCAGAGATCTTAAGTGAACGTATAGCCCAGCTTGTTCCTGTTTACTGGCTAAATTGAGTATTGAGACAGATCCATTGATATGCGTGCAACCTTTCATATTTTCAATAACCAGAGGATTTACAAGTTTAACACTTCCGCACCATTTGACGCAGTCATCTCCACACGGATCGCAGCTGTTGATTTTCGAATTGAATCTGGTTTCTTCTGGACAATCGTTGCGACACTTTCCTTGGTATATAAAATAGGAGGTTCTGTTTTGGCTGGTATGATTGGACGTTATTTGGTTGCGCTCGAAGCATTCCGTTTCTGATACGCATTTGCTCATGGCTTTGAGGATATACCTGAAACAGATATAGTAATGTCAACTGAAGCAGCTGCTTTACTGCTTCACTTATCTAAAGATATTTTCAATTTTTCCATTTGGTCGAAAAAGTCCTAACGTTTTTCCAAAGACCCTGTAGTATTTTGTATTGATAGTCAACTTGAAAAATATGTAGGTTCTTAGTGGCTTATATATATAGACAAAACCAAAAACAACTGAGGAGTTAAACTCAAAACTAATACGAGCTATTGAAAAAACACTGAAAGAACCTGTCTTTATCATGAGAAACTTCAATTACCCTGGAATCACCTGGGACAAACCAGAAATTCATCCACACAACAACCAGTGTAGTTATGACTTCTTGAAGAGATATTCAACAACATCTGGGAAAAAATGTCCATGTATTTACGGCCAAAACACAACTTCAAGTTAAACCGCGGCCAGCTCACAAGGTTTACTAGAGACAAATCCTTAAAGCTAACTATGATGCTGTCAACAACTCACTCCAGCAAGAGTTATATAAGGTAGCCAATTAAGCTAATATTGACACTTTCTACGAGGCAGATCAATTAATATAAACATAACAATAAGACCTTAAAAAATTAACAAGCAAAAACCATGGCTGACTAAAGAAGTAGGTATTTTAAGAGATTCAGCAAAAAAGGAATCTATGGCACAAATATAAAATATCGCATTCTGAAGAAAACTATCAAAGGTATCAACAACAAAACTAAAGCGTGCATAGTGATGGTAAGAAAAACTCATAAACTACATTTACTGATAAAAAACAAACAATTTTATGCATACATAAGTCGCACCCTCAACTCCAAGCACAAAAACATAATTGACAAAGCAGCCCAACAGTCATTTAAAACAAATCAAGAAATTGCAGAATGATTCAGAGCAATTTGAAAGCCTATACAAATTATTGTATCAGAACACAATCAAACCCGCACTTCCCTTAGAAACCTACTCCAGGACTGAAATAACCAATATCATACCTATTCACACGCTACTTTTTCTCAAAAATTGTTCACAAGTACTAAAAGACCGATTGTCTCACATACTCAATACCAATGAGCACAGAAGAGCTTCATTTACCTTGGAAGAAAGCCGTGGTATCACCGATTTACAAAAAAGAAAACAAGCAACATGCAGGTGCACTATGTAAATATATGGAAAAAATAAAATAACTGCTTCCCTGATTTTCTACTAGAAAATGTTATACCTGGAGAACAACTTGGCTTTCTCCCAGGAAAATAAACATTAACAAACTTGCTAACCAGATTGAATGAGTGGACCCTGGATGATGACAACCTTAGATCATGACAAATGACAACCATGGACCATCAATTGATGTCATTTACCCTAATTTTGAAGAAGCATTCGACAAGATACCAACATGTTTTTTGCTCTATAAATTGGAACACTTTGGAGTTGGGGGCAAACTTCTGAGGTTGTTAGGAGGCTTCGTCACTGAAAGTACTTTCCAAGTACGTGTGGATTCCTCACTTTCAAAGGGGCACAAAGTACACATCAGTGTTCTTCAAGTATCAGTCTTCGTGCTGTTTATAGCATATGAAAGCGATCTTTATCAAGGGCTTCACACCAGCAATGCTACGTTTGCTGTTGATGGAAACCTATACACAAATCCACTGCTACATCAAGCTGAATTACAAGTGGACCTTAACAGCATTAAAGCGTTGGCATATGAGTGGAAGATGGAAGATGCCTCTGATTGATTATAAATGCACTGTCCTACATTATTGGTCAAAGCAATCCCAAATTCAATAATTTTCTTCTTAGGAGACCTAGGAGTCACTTTAACATCTGACCTAAAATGAGATACAATATCACACCTTATTCAGACAGCATTTAAGTCGTATGTAAGACCAAAACTTGTAGCATACTTTCTATTTTTTTAATTTTATTTAATACATATTTGGATGCTGAGAGTCTGGTGACTGAAGGCCAGTCACTGGTTCCACATTTTCGTGACTGCAGTTTTGCCGCTGCTCGAGACGAGGCGTAACTCATTTCATTTTCAAAAGACTAGTTAGTACCTCTTGTGCGCGTTCATTCAAAACGAGAAGGGAGCTCTGAAATTATTGGTCGCTACTCAACTTTTTCCAATTTTGCTGTTTGCCCTGAAAGGTTAATCTTGGCCTGGGGTCCGCCATCGTCCTAAGTCAAATATCGATAACCGTTCTCGTGAAAAAAATACCTTATCGGCCATCAGGCACTAGTTTGACGAAATAAATTTGCGTAAGGCAATGCGTTAATTACCGATAAATTTGATGTCGAAAGTCTTGTGATTACCTTTCTATTCGAGTTTGAATTTCGAACCCCCTAGTGGTAAGTTCTTTTTGAAATTTTAAATTTAAATGTAATGGTTTAATACCTGCAATCTGAGAGACGTCTTCCACCTCCGTCACAGCACAAATTTAAGAGGTCATGATCAAAAGCTTTCTAAAGAAAAATGCAATAAGCTTCTGCGGAGAAATTTCCTTATCAGTAGAATTGTCTACAATTATTGGAACCGCCTGAATGGTAACAACATGCAGCTCTAAGTGACACCAGAAAGCAGGCGAAGGTCAAGTTAAGGAAAGAAAGCTGTTCGTTTTTCAATGTTTGTTTCAGTTTGAGCACTATGAGAACTGACTATCAAATTTTGTCTCGAATATTGACACTGAAGTAGCACTTACTGTTTCAGCTGGGAGTTGATTCCAGCAAAGACTCTGGTTTGCAGAAAGGTCTCCCTACACACTGTGGAATATTTTACTTTTTCAAGTTTGAGACGATGATTCCGGAGTGTTTGATAGGTGAAGATAAGATCTCCTGTTGTTCTTCTATTTCTACCAAGTTGCAATCGTGTTGCTTTTCCCTGTATGTACAGCTTCAAGGCTATTGCGGTTTCTAATGAGGCCTGGGTACCAAGCCTGACCTGCATATTCTAGGATTGGCCTGCAGGATATGCTGTACCGTTTTGTAAAGGCTTGTTGGGGAGTGTTTAGGAAGACCTCCTTTAGGAGGAATAACTTGCTGTTGGCTTTTTTGCATATTGTTGTTACATGTTAAGTTGTTGACTCCAATGTCGTGCCGCTGAACACTGACCAGTACTGACCCATTGATGGTGTATCCATTTACTGGGTTATTTTTTCCAAGATGGATGGAGTACCACACATTTTTCCACATTAAGGGGTAGTTGCCAACATAATACTACTTCCCAATTTGGTTTAAAACATTCTGGAGCGAGTGAAAATTGTTGGAGGGACCATAAGTTTTTATGTCGTCGGCGAAAGCTGCACATTGTGATATTAGGTTGAGAAGATCTATAGTGTAAATTATAAACAACAGAGGTGCAAGTACCGAGCCTTTGGGGTACACCACTCCACTTTACTGGATAGAGTTTGCGAACTCTGACTTTGTACTCCCTGTTTGTAAGATAATCTTGGGTCCAAAGCCTTAAGTCCCCCCTCACACCAAAATTATCCAGTTTTAGCAGAAGCCTCTGGTTTAGGAACCGCTGGAATGCTTTGCCAAAATCCAAGTATATGACATGTACTGTGAGTTTTCCCTAGATTCAAGGCTGTGGTAAAGACTATACCCAAGTGATCTGAGAAACCATGCAAAGGATATTTTGAAAGCTCAAGGCCCTATCTGTTAAAGTCAACAAAAGTGTGGTCAAGTCTCGCCTGTGCTCGAGTGGTAAAATGCACGCTTTTGTAAAGATCAAGTGAGTTAAAAAAGAAATTCAGATATTTGACCTCTTTGTTATTTAGAGCCTCAAAATGAACATTGAAGTCATTGGTAATGATTGTATGAGCGGAAAGGTTAATTTTGCTTGAAACTTGAGAAAAAGTTTCGAAGTACTTAAATATCAAGATCTCCATCAGGTAATGCGTTTATTGTAAGTATCTGCATATTAAGTGGTTTGATTTAGATTCCTGATATCTCGCGGTGCACTTCAATTGAGTATTTTGAAATTTTAAGATCCTCACAGGGTAGGTTCTCTTTAATGTAAATACCAACCCCCCCTCACTTTCCAACAGCGTAGCACTTGTAAGTACTTTTATCTCAAAGGGGTCCATAATTTGAACTTTATTATCGTCGAAACTCGACATAGAAATGATCCATTATGTTCTTAGGACCATACAAATCTTTAGGCGTGTAGGCGTTGATTGGCATAGGGTAATTTGTTCAATCTTTTCCCGCTAGAGGTAGCAGCGTCAATCAGGGCTATAAGCTTTGTTCCCACACAGCAGGAAACCGTAAAATGTACCGGCATGGTTCTGCGCAAAACCTAAAATTTGTGCGTAGAATCCGAAATTCGTATACCTACTGAATGGTTTCTAAACCGTTCATGGGACGGTTTTTTGAGGTGTTGGAACAGACTTATTATGTTCTGGTAATTAATTTGGCGTTTTCTTCTCGCTAGATGGCAGCGTCAACTATCAAGTTCGGAAGGTCTTTTTGTGCTTCGCTCAATTGTTCAAACCTTGAACTCACCACAAAAAGACCAATTTCTGGGCCTAATGACATAAATAACTATTTTTCAAAACGATATACTTTTTCTGTGCTGTCAGTATAGCCTTTTGATTGCTTCAAAACCAACGAACAAGCCCTCGTTTTTATTCTAATCGGTGACTTCACCGATGAGTTAGCTATCTTTGTTTAGTGAATGGAAAATGACAATGACCGACAAAGAATGGTGGATCCATCGGTAAAATTTGATGAGAATAAAAACGCAGGGAATATAGAAAAACTGTACTGACATCAAACTGTGTCAATGTCATTTCTTCACTTCCAGCAATAGTAATTACACCCCCTACTTGAAGATATCTTTGCAATTGGACTGAAAATTTGGTTGAAAACTAAAGCTAGTTTCTGTGAAAAATCTTCTACAACAAATCTAGTCCTATATTCTTCGACAGAGTCATCTGGATTTGGTTTTATTTTATTAATCCAGATATAGCTTTCTTCCTGCAGATAACTCATCCAAGGACCATTTATAGTCTG